TAATAGTGAAAACATGGCAACAAATCGTTATACCTATGCAGCATCAACTTCATCAGCAATTCCACATTCAAGGATATTCAAACGAAATACGTCACTTTTACCAATTCTTCTACAATCAAGTCCTTGTATAGGACATCAAAAACGAGATATTCATCCAAAAAAACCTACACATGATTTAGAAGAAAAGCAGGAAGAAAATAATGATGATGACGATAATTATTATTATTTACTTGGTTATAAAAATTTAATTAATAATTTACCAAAACCAGTTATATCTATTCAGCCACGTTATGGACAAGATGATTATGGAATTTTATTTGAACAATTAGCTCATATTCGAGAAAGAATGCCTGATTCAAATATTTATGATGGATATACGAGAATTGTTTAATTATTTTATTTTTTTTTTTACTTAAAATCTTTTCATGTTTATTCACATGAGAAAAGACATTCGATTTCTCTTTACTTTTTGATTAACAATAAAGAAATGAATTGAATTTTATTTTTTTCTGAAAATCATGTTAAATTTTGACATAGAATTTCAATAATTTGTTGCTGTCAAGAATTCAGTTTTCATCAATTTCTTTTCAAAAGTGAACATTTTCTTCGTTTTATAATTATCTAAAGTTTTTGATTTAAGACTTAAGATACTTTCCCTTCCCTCGAACTTTGTCATAGATTCAAAGTTTTCGGATGCTCTCTTCTTCGATATATTGGGATCATAATAGCAAAAGACACCTTCAATATTCGTCTCCATTTCTCAAAGATGCTAGGTTAGATCGAGTTGAAAAGTATTTTATAGACATTAGATACTGTTTGAGGTGAGTATCTTTTTGTCCTTCGAATAAAAAAATCAAAATATCGAAGGTGTCGTAATAAAAGAAAAAGTGTTATTTTTTTAATACAGCTTTTTTTGTAAGAGCTACCAAAAATCAGTCGAACAAAAATACCCATTTCAAAGAGTTTATAACATATGTGAACAAAGTTTCAGCTCAATCGGACGTACAAGATCGTAGAAACGAAGAGATTTCTGCACTTTTTCCATGAAAAGTCGGTTTGAGAAAAGCGCGAAACAATGTACAGCTCTCGCTATTTCCGTTACGTAAATTTAATTTTCTCGTGATTTGTATCACGCTTAAAGACAAGTTTTGGATTCTAAAATTTTTGATCTTGTGCCTATAAATCAATAAAATGATTATATCTTATATTTGTCTGTAAAAAAAAATTTAAGATAAATTTTCGATGAACAATCAAATGCTAATTTAATAATAATTATCTACTAATGATATATCATTTGTTAATATAATAGCATTCTTTAACATCTCATTCAGTTACTACACCTCAATATCAATCCAATAAGAAAATAACGTTTCAATCGAGTATCACCAATAGGCAAATAACAATGCTTATCGAATTTAATTCAGTCATGTATTATAACAAATATAAGCTTTTATGTGTTTATGTATTGTCTTTATCTTTGAAGCAATCAATGAAGAAAATATTCGGATAAATCTTACACATGGATAATCGACTCTATTATAGTTGCGAACGAGCGTGTCAATTAAAAGAAACTGCAATTTTCTGCTTTATCTTTATGCGAAAATGTAACTTTCATTTTCAAAATATCTGCGTAGTTATTCGCAATGAATTTCTCATAACATTTGGTTGAAAAAGGAGTGAAAAGCGATTTATTTTTCGTATCGATAGTAATTGTCGGTTAACAATTCATAAGTATTTCGAAAGCTTTTTACAAGTATTCTAGAATGTTATTTTGTATTGAGCGATGTCGACTAGAATAAGTTTTCATCAAATTATTTTAGTTTATAATCAGTTGGCCTGAAACAGAATGAACAAAAGTCCATAGATATTATCATGTATATAAGATAGAAAACAATTTTTGACTAACATCAAAAATTTTTTATCCAAGCGTATGTTCAAGTGAGTCCAAACGACTTGTTGTTTCAGTCGAAAACGATAAATAAAAATGTCCAAAATGTTCTGATCCGTTTCTATTTACGTTCTTTTCAATAGTGTCAAAACCTAAAATAAGGATAAATTGTACAGTACACACAGAGACGAGTGTGAGTGGCTGTTCTTCAAAACGAGCGCTCCGTACTTCCATACCGCTACCCAGATACACAGGGTTCGTTATGTGGATCATTTTTTTTAATTGTTCAGTGATTGATCGGAGAAATGATAAAACGATTTATATGATTTAATTAATGTTATCATAAACAGTAATGTGTTCATAAAATTGAAGTAGAAAGATTACATAGCAAAATTTTCATTTCGAAAATTATTTATATTTGTAATTAAAAAAAATAACTAAAGAATGATTTAATTTTGATATTCACGAATGCAAGCATACAATTATTTCATACAAGTACGTTACTCTTAACAATTATACTCAAAAAAGATTTTTTTTTTTAATTTTAAATATATTCATAAAATAAAATTTCTCATCAATGTTTTTCAATAAAATTCACAAGATATAACGGAAGTCGATAGTTTTGAAATATTATTTTTCTTTGTCGAATAAATCGAGCACATAAACATTTCAATTGACTAACACCAATTTTCTCTCGAAGATGTTCTTTAACATGTATATTCGATGCTACTTCAAGAGGTGTTTGACCTTGATTATTAACACAATCTGGATGTGCTCCAGCAATATCACAAAGAAGATTAATAATAAACAATACATTTTCAATATCATGTTTACGTTGAGCAATTAAATGTAATGGAGTATTTCTTTCTGAATCAATTGCATCAACATTAGCACCACATTTAAGCAACAGACCAATTGTTTTATGACATGGATATCTAGATTTAAACGAAAAAACAAAACTATTATCCATTTCAAAATAGAAGGCGAGTGATTGTGAGTCGAATAAATCGTGAACAAAAGTAGCTATGGAGCTGCGATTTTCACCATTAAAAAGCGGACACCAGGGCATGTAAATCTATGAAAAAATTTCATTGGTCAGTAGTGGACCAATAGGATGAATTCCGTTAGACATTTTCAAGGTAGCTTTTGGAATGCTTTTTTCGTTGGATTTTGGACTTCAATTAAGCAATTCGATAGAAAAATTGTCTTCTTTCGATCTATACAAGGCCGAACTCGATAGTTTGCTCCGTTTGGTAGCTATGAGCATTTTCCTGAGACCCCGGAAATCGGTTAGGTGACGCGGATCACCCTTAAAAGCATTAGATATTAGGTAATCGACCACGCTGAATTCAATGGTAATATATGTTTTCTATTTCAAAGTAATCTAAGATCATTACAAAAGCGTTTTCGTAAATCAAGTTTTTGTTGCTATTTGGCTTAAAGAACACGTATATTGAAAATCCTGATACAGTGATGTCAGAGTACTTTGAAATAAAAAAGAAACCTCACCATTCAATTGAGCGTGATCTATTATCTATAATCTAGTGCTTTTAAGGGTGATTCTGCGTCACCTGACCGATTTCGGAGGTCTCAGGAAAATGCTTATAGTCACCAAACGAAGTAAGTTATCGATTTCGACCTTGTGTAAATCGAAAGAGAACAATTTTTTCTATGGAATGGTTTAATTGAAGTTTAAAATCCAACGAAAAAAGTGTTTCAAAAGCTATCTTGAAAATATCCAGTGGACATTCGTCCTATTGGTCCATTACTGACCAATGAAATTTTTTCATAAATTTACATGCCTCGGTGTCCGCTTTTTAATGGTGAAAACCACAGTTCCATAGCTACTTTCATTCCTGATTTATTTGACTCGCAATCATTCGTCTTCTTTTTTGAAACAGATAGTAATCTTGTTGAGAAATTGAAAAAATAAAAATACAACATACTTGCATAGTGCCATAATATGATTATCATTTACACATGGTAAACCTGTCATCATACTTAAATGAAGTAGAGTCCAATATTGTGAATTTTCAATAGTTGTATAACAAGTTCGAACAAACATTACTAATATTCGATAAATATCCATCATTGAAGGCAAAATTTTTTGTTTATCAGATATCTATAATCAAATATACATAAGATTTTACAATCATAGAAAATTTTGAAATTTTAATAAGAAGTAACATACCTGACTAATAATTGTAATAAGATAGAAAAGTGTCAATAGATTATGATCATTATTACGACTATTTGAAAGTTCATCATTAAGTGCTTTTAGAATTTCTAATATAGCTTTTTCAGATATAATATCTACATGATTTATTATCATTTCAGCAAACATATGAACAAAACTTCGTAAATGCCATTTATCAAAATTAATTTTATGTTGTCGTCGTAAATCAAGTTCATATAACCACAATCGTAATGATGTATCATATTGATGTGTATCAGCTAATAAAGCACCATAAAATCTTATAGCATGACGATAACGTTTATTTTTTTGACCTAATATTCTTTCTTGTATAAGTAATGATTCAATATGTAATCGATTATGTGATTGAGATAAAATTTGATTAAATTCTTCTAATGTTTGACATTCTTGAAAATAATTATATGCTTCAATAGATTGAATAGATGAAAATATTTTTGGAAGATTTTTTTCTATTCTCCATTTATATGCTATTTTTATATGTTCAATAGCTTTATTAAGATTATAATTTTTTGATTCAATATTTGCATATGATGCTCCAAGTATTTCTCTTGCTTCAATCCATTCTAAATCTGATAAATAATAATTTTCAAAAGCATCAACTAAATCTTCTCTTGCATCTAATGCAGCCCATAAAAGTGGACTTGTTATATTATGAGAGATATTTTTTGCTCCACGTTTTAATAATAATTCAACAACATCAAATGAACCACCATCAATACCATAATGTAATGGTGTTCGACCATCTTGATCATATTCATTTGGATCACAATATAATTCATCAAGAAAATATTTTACCATATGTGTATGTTCACGATAAGCACTTAACATTAAATTTGTATAATTTCCATCACGTACAAGTCGTATATCAGCACCATGTGAAATTAAATAACGTGCAATATCAAGACGACCAATATAAGATGCAGCACGAAGTGGTGAACTACGTGTAACAGATAAATGATTTATATTTGCATTACCTTCTTCAACTAATAATTTTACAATACCAAAATGACCAACAGCAACAGCAACCCATAATGGTGATACACCATACATTATATCATGAACAAAATCAAGTTTAACATCACCAACTGCATTTATATCAGGTTTAAAACGATGTAATAACATACGTACTATATTTTCATGTTTATAAAAACATGCAGCAATTAATAATGTCCATCGTGATCGTCCATATTCATATTGTTGATTTATATTTGCAATAGGATATTGATTTAGATAAGTTTCAAGCGACAAAACACGACCTTGACGAGTAGCTCGATGTATAAGTTCATCTTTTTCCACTTGTGAATAATCAAATAACATTCTACCATAGAAATTGTCACCACAAGCATGCATGTCTATAATCTTACCTTCGTTGAAAATTTCAGTTGGATGTTGTGCAAACACATCCACATGATTCTTCGAAACAGAACAGAACAAAACAAAAACAGAATAAAAAATAATAATACACGATGAAGGTAGCTGTAGACAAACTACAATAAAGTTTTAACAATTATATAGCCTATGGATTCGATTATAAATAAATATTCCTTTCGATTTTAAAATATAGGGTATTGCAAAAGTCACCTACCCAAAAAAATATTAAATATCTCAGCGATTTCTTAACGAAATTCAATAACTTTTTTTTTTGTTTGAAAGAGAAATGCTCCAAGTTTAGTTTTCATTTCAGATTTAATTTGGAGACTAAAATCCAAATCGATATCTTAATGAAAAAATTTGAATCTCCAATAATGATGATTCGTGAATTTACGACGATAGGAAGCAGCAGAAATTCCGAAATGTCATAGTATTACATCTATCTATCAAAGGTTTCTTGAAACTTGTTCAGTTGAAGACCACATCCGTTCCGGAAGACCATCAACAATTAGAGAAGGTATAATAAATGAAGTTGAAGAAACTTTGAACAGGGAGCCACAAATCAGTGTAAGAAAAATTGTCGTATTTGGGCTACAGCCAATCCACTTATTACCATTGAGGTTGTAATGAACTCGCCCAAGATCAATTTATGGTGTGCAATGTCAAGCAAACAAATAATTGGTCCTTATTTTTTTGAAGAAGACACAATTGATCATCAAAACTATTTGGATCTGTTAAAAAAATATTTTCATCCAATTTTACAAAAGGAAAGACTTCATAAAAAATATCATTTTTCAGCAAGACGATGCTCCAGCACATTTTTCAAAAGAAGTTCGTACATGGTTAAATGAGAATTTTAATGATAGATCGATTGGTAGAGGTGGACCAATTTCTTAGACGCTGAAATCTCCAGATCTTACTCCACTTGATTTTTATCTGTGGGATTATGTCCAATCAAACTTGTACAAAACTAAGGTTGAAGATATTCGTGAATTGAAGAACAGAATCGATTTTTTTAAATTTTACAATTTCTTTTTAATTTTGTCTAAATTTTAACTTTGCCGTAGAGAATAACATAACATGACTATAGACAATATGATCTTGAATTGTAATCAACCAATGTCAAGGCAGTCGTTGTAACATAAAAAAGCAGAAGTATGAAACAAATATATAGAAAAGATCATAAGATAAAGAGCACAAACTGTCGTTCAAAGTCGTTGATGTAATAATGTTACAAATGAAAAAATATAATTGAATGTAGGAACGATTGATTGGGGAGAGCCCCGACTGGGACCATACTCGTCCCTGATGAATTCGTCCCATTAAGATCTTTAGGGAAAATGTCAATTCCGAATTCGTCCCTTATTAATTTCTCTTTAACTAATAATAATTAACAAGAAAACATCGCTTTTATCGTACTATGAATTTATATAAAGAATGTCTATTCTAAAATTATTGAACGTTTACCACCTACAAATAATCACGTTGAAACATTCAATAAAAGAATCAATTCAATTTTTCCTGTACATCCTCATATTTTTAATTTTGTATAATATTTACGTCAAGAACACCAGTTTCAACACCACTGTGCTGAAGAATAATATTTTAATGCATGTACACGAAAAAAAGTTAGTGAAAATATTGATTCAATGCTCTTATTCAACCTCTAACAAAATAATGATGGTAACTTATCTTCTATGCAGCCTGCAATGAATGTGAACAATGTGTGAAAATGAACTTTGCTAAGTAATTTCCTTTCATGTCTCTCTTTTTTTGTGATATTTTTCGTATCTCTTTTCATAAATTATTCTGTCAGATAGTTTAATTAATAAATCATTTTATTATATCTTTTTGTAACGTAATTAAGGATGAATTCGGAAAAGTGGGACGAATTTTTACCAATTAAGCACGGTCTCAGTCGGGAGTAACCCCTACGAATAAATTCGGAATAATGCTCATTAAATAAGGAACAAATGGCGTCATTCATTGCCATTATGAACTATATAAATATGCATTATTATTTTCAATGACGAGAGAATATGTATCCGTTTGGATGAGAGAGCAATAACGAAGTAAAGAATAGTAAAAAGATATATGTCAATTGTATAAAAATCGTAAAAAAAATTCACCTCAAAAATGTTGAAAATATTTCGAGTGTCTTTTATTGATGTTTGTCAGTTACTAGATTGTTTGTCACTCGTCGTAGTCAGACAAAAAACATGAAGATGCACATAAAGAAGTGTAGGTTTTTCTTGTTAACTTCGTTGTTCATCGGGAGAAATCCGAGAAATTTTGAAAGGAGGTACCGCTTTGCAGGATGAAGTGGGAGATGCAATTCATGCACGAAGTTTTGAAGCGAAATCGCTAAAATTTAACATTAAACTAGCTTTAAAGGAGATGCTGTAGCATTTGCTTCATTCTCTATGGATTTGTCTTTTGTTCCTGACGTCAGATTGATCGTTTGTTATTATTACAAAGAAAGCTCCTTTGATATTGATTCAGTCTATGATCAATATTCATTAAGAAATGTTAACGTTTTAGCCTATTCATTGGCACTGACAAAAAAGTCCTTTAATATTGCTGATAATCAATTCTATTAATTGAAATATTTTGAAATGATCCTCACTATGTAGCATTCTTTTGTAGTTGTTGTCATATTTCATCAGACCAATAGTGATTTCAATAGAGTGACATACTTGAAATTTTTTATTTACCTTTTTTTGTATTGGTTATATTGCAAACTGTGTTTTTTTTCATTTGAAGCGACAGGTAGAGCAATGTTACAAACGGTTTTTACATTTATCACGAACGATTTATTACATTAATTTCATTTTTCTTAATTGAATACCTGATGATATTCATAATGATAATAGTTCTACGAGAGATGATCATTTAAAATTAAAAATAATTTAAATTCTGTTTCATATATATTCTGATTAGAACATGATTGTGAAAGCAAAAAAACAATATATATTACCGAACTATATGATGAAGTATAAAATTCAACCATTTACATACATAATCTTTATCTAAAGATGGAAAATTCAACGAAGAAACAGCACTTTTAAAATGTTTAGCAGAAAATATACATCCTTTGTTAAAAGTATTTTCTAATAAGAATTCTTCTACAAATTCAAAAGGACCATTTTGATCAGTAATTGTCTTCAATTTGATTCCCCATTCTTTATCAGAGACTTTGTTTAATTCAATACCACAGTGACATATACCATTAATTATATCTTTAAATGGCAGTTGACTATCAGGATTTAGAACATGATAGATGTTTCCATATACATGAGATTGAATACTACTCAAATAGACAATACTTTTAGCAGTAAAATTGACTGGTAAGCAATTAAAATAAGTATTAACTTCTGTTTCACGATAACAACCCATCTTTATTATTGCGGCAAGAAATAAAGTATGAATATCCTTTCTATTACATGCACCTGTCTCAGTATCGGCACATATAGATCCAAGACGATAGATAACCACTGGAAGGCCTAATTGATTTGCCTTAGTAATTAGTTTTTCAGCTACCCATTTACTTTGTGCATAACCACTAACTAAACCATCTGGAGGAACCTTGTCAATTGATAATTCTTGATTGAATTCCGATGATAAAACACTTACCGTTGAGATGTATTGTACAGGTATACAAGTTGAAGTATGTGTTGCCAAACGAATAATCTCTCGAGTACCACATACATTTGGACCATAGAGCTTACTGTAAGGAAATACAAAATTAACTATAGCACCACAATGAAAGATAATATCAATTTGATTAGCTAACAATTCATATATTTCATTACTTAATCCAAAATGAATTTTTGCTAAATCACCTTGTAATGGAATAATGCGTTCTTGATAGTCTTCTTTCCATATCTGATAGAAGAACATATTTTCTCGAATACGATCCAAAGGATTCACTAAAGATTTGCATCGTACAAGACAAATAAATTTACAATTTGAAGGATAAATTGTTAATAATTCAGCCAGTAGAAATGCACCTACAAATCCTGTAGTTCCAGTAATGAAAATCATTGACGGAGATTGACCTATATTTTTAGGTTTACCTACAGTTATGTTTATATCTAATTGAGAATCATTCAATAGTTGTGGTACAAGAGAATTTGTCATCGAAGAAATTTGAGAAGGATTTTTGATAAGATTTATTAATCTTTGAAGAGTCATGGTATGTTCAAAAAGTACATTTACTGGTATAGGTATTCCCAAATTATTTTCAATCATACGAGATAATCGTATGGCTGTCAATGAATTATTACCATTAGCAAACAAGAAATGTTCATTATCATTGTTTGGTATCGATTGTTCTGTTGCTATTTCAATAATAGTTTTTAGTCGTTGATCAATAGTATTAATTGGTTTTAGTCTATTTGCATAATGTGCAGCTAACTTATGACGACAAGGTTTGAACGAAGAAGTAAGAAGACCATTTTCTGGTGTGAATGGTTCAAAATCAATAATTAATCGTGATGGAATTTCATGCATTCGAAGTGATTCATTTTTGGCTATCGAACGAAGATCTTCTAGAATTGCATTATACAATTGTGGATCTGGATTATTTATATCGAAATTTATTAAATTATGCTCAATGACAAATGCTTGTACATATACTCTGTTAGGTACAATCACTGCAACAACACAATCTGATAAAAGATCACCATGAATATAGATTTGTTCGACGAATGAACTTCGAATATAAATATTTTGTAGATATTCAGGTGATACAAATTGTCCTTGTGAAAGTTTAAAGAAACTCTTTTTACGATCGATAACATGCAACTCATGTCGGCCATTCGAATCTATACGCAATTCAACAATGTCACCAGTACGAAAGAATCCATCATCGGTGATAGCTACTCGAGTTTCTTCGGAATTATTAATATATCCAGAAAACATTTTTGTAGTTTTTGTTAAAATTTCTCCTCGTGGAAAAGGTTTATCATCGATTGTATAACCCATTTCTGGAACAGATTCAAGACGATATTTAATTGTATCTTCTAAAATATTGTTATAAGCTACACTTCCACACTCCGTAATTCCATATGATTCATTAATTCGACAACCGGAAAAACATCGTTTCATAAAGTTCAACACATTTGGACTGACTTTAGCACTACCGACTGTAAGTATTTTACATCTATTAGGAATTAGTTTTGAAAATTGTTTCAATAGACGTAGCTCTTCTGCTGATGAATGATGAGCATTGATCAAAGAAAGAGCTGTCTTGAATTCAGTATAGATTTTATTCCAAATACTTGGTGGAGCAGAAAATTGTGTTGGTCTAACTAGAGCTAATTCTTCCATTAGACGACTAACATCTCCTGTTGAGAATCCGGTACGTCCTCCAGCAAGAAAAGTTCCAGTAACTATAAAGCGATCAGCTGCCCATGCTAATGGTCGATAGGAGAATATAATTTGTTCAACTAAACATGTTGTAAACCAATTTGGAAATGTTGCTCGATAAGTTTCTTCAGAAATTATAGCACCTTTAGGAAAGCCTGAACTTCCACTTGTATATATAATCGTAAGGCAATCATTAGGTTTTATAGTAACATGATCGTATTTTTTAATAGAACCATATTTTTCAATATCACCCATATAATGAAGAGACAGATTATGTTCATGTATTTCAGCTAGAATGATTTCAATAGTATCACATAAATGAAATTAATAAACATTTATGATCAACAATAAAGAACTTAACAAGTAAAATTTTCTAGATAAATATTTTTGAAAAAAATTTTTCTCTTAACTTTAACTGAATAATACAAAATATAGTCAAATAAGTCTTTAGACTATAATTGAATTATACTAAACGTCAACAAAGACGAAGGTTTCGAAATAAAAATCATACTCTCAATGTATTAAGATCTAGCACTTACCTAACATTGTATCAGAAATAGAATCCATACATACGACATGACGAAGTGATAGACATTCTGCACTCAATCGAATAAATCTAGATAGCATTTGTTTATCACAAACTACTACAGACGCTTTAGTATTATTAATAATATAAGCAATTTCATGATCATTAAACAAACAATAAATTGGAACAGTGATAATATTCTGAAGTATGCATGCAAAATCAGTAATTATCCATTCAGGTCGATTTGCTGCACAAATACTAAGATAACCACGTGGTTCAATTAAACGTCGTAGGCCATGACCAAAATTTTTTGTTCGATCACCTACAGTTTTATATGTCATCCATGAATATGAATTCGTATATATTGAAGGATTTGTTTTATCAAAATTTCTAATACCCATACAATAACGATTACTATAAATATAAAATGCTCTTTGAATACCATTTATCATATTCATTGGTCTCCATTCGCTATTCTTTGCCGGTCCATATGCCAATTCACTTGTCATTTGATGAGGATGCGATGGACGTATCGTCATTGCACATGTTTCACAGTAATTATAATCATCACAGACAGTACAATTAAAACGAAGTTCACCATCAAAAATGATTCTATTACAGCCATCGCAATTCCAATAACTCGGTCGTTCAATTTTATCAGTACTCATTTTAGTCTGAAAAAAAAATCAGACAATGTCGAAACAATAAAATTAATTTTTCAAGCTCTAAGTTTAACTGTAGTATTTTATCATGGTCACTTCATATAGGATTTGAAGCTATGTATTTACAATAAGAGTGAAAGCAAATAGTAGAGTTATTTCTGTGAGATTATAATTTAAATTTTATCAAAATAAATTTTATTTGTTAACAGTATCTGATTTGTACTTAGTTTATAACGTTGTTCTTCATTCGTTTTCTAATATTGACGAAAAAAAAAGTTTTACTTTTATTTGACATTGAGTTTATCTATTAGTTATTATAAATGTTTTACATATCTATAATTATGAAAAAACAAATTCATTGATTGACTACTATTGTAATTTCACGTTGATTTTTCTGCATTTCTTACTTAAATGCGTGATTATTTTGTCGAATGGAGAAAAATATCCAAGCTTTTGATTCAATAAGTATAAGATTAAAATATATGTTATTATTATTATTTACGTCAAACATTGCATAAATATACTGTAACGACATGAAATAATTGACTCACATCGTCTGTTTCATAAATCTAGCATTACAATCATTTGTTTTCTGTATGACTAAATCTGATAAGAATCTCAACATTTTTCTAAAATCCTTTATGACGTATCCAAACAAAAAACAAACATTTTTTCCTTTTCTCATCACATTGTTCTTTTATGAGTTAGATTCGCGTCAAACATTAGTCATTATTTAATTTAATTATAACAATCATTTAATGAAATCATGTTTTTTTATAATTCAAATAAATGACATTAAACGACTTCTATCGTATAAATTGTAAATCTATTCAATATGCAAAGTTCAATTAATTATTGCAATTAATTAAAACTACAAAACTACTAAATGTACATATCCTAACCACAGTAATCCATGTTATCAAAATCGCGTCACTTTTGACGATTAATCAGCAATTATCCAACAAGCCTCAATGCTAAACATTATACACATAAATTAACAATTTTTTTTTCTTCTATTTAAAATATCTGATAATTTCAATAAATAGTAAGTATTATTTTAGGCTAGGATTTAAGCGATCAGTAAAGTAGATGAAATGATCAGTGTATTAGAATATTATAAAACCAGCAGATCGAATGATTGATCAGTAAACGGAATAATTGATCCGTTATTTATTGATAAGATTTGTAAATAAATTTGAGAATCAGTAAATATAATTAATTAACAATAAATTAAATACAAAGATGAGTATAGAAATTCAAATGTGTTATAGTGTGGTTCATTTTTTCTGTTTTTCAACTATGCCGTACAGATAACAAGTACAACGTATATATATTAGTGACCAATCTTGGCTTCAATCCAATTTCAGATGCGCCTAGCCAATATGAGACTCAGATTTGCCTAGTCAAATATCGGATTGGAAAGCTGGTTTTCGTGAAAACTTTTAACTGCCCCTGAATAGGTATTAATTTGGCATACTTCTTATTGAACTGTTTTAAAAAAAATGGCATTTCAGCTAATATAATCATCGATAGAGAAATTAATTTAGGGTTCTAGAACTTGCAAATAGGATTCTATAGTAAACCAGTTGTTACAGAAAATTATCCATAAGTGTTCGTGTTTAAACTTCATTTCTTCAGTGATGATCGTAATGTCGGAATACCATTGTTTTAACCTAGTTCAGCAATATTATTTCGATGCAATATTTATCTAGCCACTAGTGAAAGCTTTAACGAAAATTGCTTTCCCAATCTGGCATTGCACTAGTCCAGAATGAGACTCCAGGTTGACCTAAGTGGATCTAGGATTGGACTGAATTTGAAATTAAATACTAACAAATATACACTCTTTACTCCTATCCTCTTGCTCATCATTACTCAAATTTTAGCAAGTGAAAGAGATGAAAATGGTAGAGGTTGCACAATATACAAACAATTTATCCGATGAAGTTTTTGGAAGAAAATGCTTATTCATTTAATATATTGCAAACGAGAAGTAGCAACAAAAACAGTTCCCATTGGCGAGAAAAGAAAAAGTGGTAGACAGTTATGATTAAGCCTGGTTTGCTAGTTCAATAATTTTATTTTTATTTTCATTTTCTCTTTTCTCACTCACTCTTTAGATTTCTATAAAATATTCTTGCGAATTGTTCTTTAATTATTTAAATTTCTTTTTCTGATAACTTTTTATTTAATACGATTAAAACTTATTTTTCTACTGATAAAATTTTTATACTATACTAATCAAATTTGTATTTGTTACTGGAATAAATTGTATATTTTACTGGTAATTATATACAATATACTAATAATTCTTTTATTATTTACTGATACGTTTAGTACTGATCGTTCAATTTTTATACTGATCATTTAATCTTTTTTACTGATCAAATATTTTGTTCCCATTATTTTATTTTAAAATAATTTTCGTTTTATTTAGATTATCTTATCGTCAAAGTTGATACCCATATAATTCGAACTGAAGAAAAATTGGCGGTAGATATTCGCCTACTGATTGCTATAATGTGCGCTTTACCGGTAGTTTTTTGAGAAGTGTATTGTGGCATATTGTATCGAAACGGTTGTATATGTTTGAAGTCTGTTAAAAAAAGACAGAATCGAAATAATTTCGATCCAATTAGATTAATGTTTGCTCATCTGTACTAGTCACAGAGCCCTGATCTGCTCTAATTCTGAGATAAATTTTCCATTATAGATGATGTTGCAAAAAACTTTTATTAGAAAAATTTATTTTGAAATTGGTTTTTGCTGATGAATTTAAATTCTTCCTAGTAATAAGTTCAAATTCAAGTAGAAGATACTCTGCAATATTTTACAGTTGAAATTGAAAGTAATAAGTGTCACCGCCAGTTCTTACAAGTATCTCAATATACTGATGGTATTGTAAATAAGAGTGCGACATTAGAAGAGAGTATTATTTTATAAGGGTAATTTTTTTTTCTTATATTTAGACTCTCAAATCATTCAAATGAACAATAATTGTTATTTAATTTAAAAAATCTGTGTCCCATTTACTGCGAATGAAGAGAAACAAATTATTTCTCTTCTCATTCATCAGAAACATCTATATGAGAATTGTAGTAAGCAGCGGTGTGTACAGTTCGGGATGAAGCCATAGTCTCAGATTTGAATACTACGATCACGATAAATTAACGAAAATATTACAGGGTGACTCATAAATAGCACTATGATTAAAAAACAATGACGTACCTTCGCATTCTTAAAAAGAAATTGGCCGACTTTTGTATTAGTGTTAGTAGTTAATTCAAACTTTTTTTTTCAAACGGATCCGGTAAGCTCATTTTATTATTTAGGATTGTTTTTCATATTTAGAAAGGAATTTGATCTTTTTATCAAACGAAAAAATACAAGTGTAGTATTTCATAGATAAATTTCAGTTGTCGTCTAGGTGAATAATAAGAACAAGTCAAATCGAACTTAATCAATCCAATCTATATTTATGCATATAGAGCAACTTTTTATTAAAACTAATTAGTTTAAATACTGAAATTCGTGCTCATAAATAAAATACCAGCACATCCTTTTGAGTGGCAAAACATCAACCTTCTTGCAAAATACACTGTCTCAGATTTGAAAACTCAACATATTTTATTCGTTGACTTTTAAACTAACTAGTTTTAATAAAAAGTTGCTCTATGTGCATAAATATAGATTGGATTGATTAAGTTCGATTTGACTTGTTCTTATTATTCACCTAGACGACAACTGAAATTTATCTGTGAAATGATATACTTGTATTTTTTCGCTTGATAAAAAGATCAAATTCCTTTCTAAATATGAAAAACAATCCTTAATAATAAAATAAGCTTACCGGATCCGTTTGAAAAAAAAAGTTTGAATTAACTACTAACACTAATACAAAAGTCAGTCAACTTCTTTTTAAGAATGCGAAGGTATGTCATTGTTTTTTTAATCGTAGTGCTATTTATGGATCACCTGTATTTGAATAATCGCGATTTTGATAACATGAGTAGGATACTCGTGATGACTTGATTTTATTAGTAGATTTTTTTAAATAAATATTTATCATTCACCTTTTATTTTGTCTGTCGCATTTTGTATCTGACTGCTTTATATTCTGTACGAAGTAAAACTTCAAGAAATAGCCTTGTTTTTTTTCTTCTCGAAATGTTATATATAAAAAAATAGTATTTTGATTGATTATCTTGATTCACATTTACATTTATGACATTCACCTTTTCTTTTTCTTTGCTAGAACAATAAAAACTAATAATACAATGGAAGCAATATTCGTTTACGAATAATTAGAATATTCTATTAATCTCTATGTATAACCGAACAGATTAATTCATGAAAAATGACACAAATATTTTCTGAAGGTAAAAGTGTTGAATTTATACATGATTTAATAACTTCACGTCCGAGGGAGACGTTGCTAAGTGTAGAATCACTTTTGAGTCGGAACTATATGCACCATATAGGTTCTAATGAGCTATGAACACCTTGAAAAGAGTACGAACTAATAACTTATTATTGTCGAGATATTGTATTCTTTATGAGAATGTCGTGATTCATCTCAGAAACATTAGAAAAGCTGAGTTTCGAATTTCGACTTGAAAGTTTTACAATAAACTATTCTCAATAAAGCCTGTCTCTATGTTAAAGTGCAAGTCAAAATTCGAAATTCAATTTTCTTGAGTAAGGGATCTCAGCATTTTTATAAAAAATACAATATCTCGGTGGTAATAAGGTGTTGGTTCGAATCTTTTCATAAGATTCATAGATCATTAGAATCTATATGATGCATATAGCTTCGACTCAAAAGCGATTTGACACTTAGAAGTATTTCCTTATTAGAAAACAAGAAAGAAATTGAATTCTATTAGACTTATATATTCTCAAATTGTGTAGAAATCATAATGATAGAATTTTTCTATATCTAAAAATAGTAAATGTTTTTTTATTCTACTATCATTTTAATTGTTTATATAGAAAAATAGCTCTGAAGAAAAATGATATTGAATAGTGCATGAAAGAAAATTGAATAAAGTCAATTAATGATGATGATGATGATGCTTGTTACTTGATACATACTAATTAAGATTAAAATATATAAATGTTATGATTTTTGTTAGTTCTAAAAATAAAATCTTTATATTGAAAATTGATTTAATCTGTAGTACATCAAAATTTTATTACAATATAGAAATGTTATACTTTCTGATTATAGATTTTATTTTTTCTCGAATTTAATCTATTATGTATGATATTATTTAATGAAAAGTTTATTTATTGATCCATAGGTCCATTAAGAGAATCAACGAAATCTTTCATATAAAGTTGTGATGGAGCTTTTTCACTAATATCTCTTGTATATGTCGATTTTGAAATATTTTTTTTCCACATAGGTAATGTAAGTGGAATAATTGCATCGGCCGGTATTCGATAACTAAATTTATAACGTCCAGGTGGAGGAGCTGCCGTTGCTCGAAGAGCTTTTTCATAAGAATTTCGATATTCAGTATCAAGAGTATGATGAGCTCGATTACGCCAAAATGAACGTGATCGATTATAAGCCAATGGTAATGGAAATCCTTGAGGAGCTCCTGAAAACAAAAAATTTCATAGATGATAAAGCAAAAATATGATTTTCTTTTTACTTACCGATATAATCTACTTGATACGTAGAAATTAATTGATTTCTTAATGCTTGTTTTGTTTCCTCGGATACAACTGGAGCAGCAACCGTTGCAGGACGACGAATCCAATGAGTGAATTGTGGATGAGGATGAGGTCGATTGGCTCTAGGCGTATTTGGACGAGCAATAGGTTCTCGTTGTATATCCTTTTGATGTGGATAATCCGTTGTATAAGATGAAATACCAACTGGACCATTTAATTGATAAGGATATCCAATTAAAAATCGTTGTCCACTCGAAACACCTTCGTCAATAGTTAATGATCTTTTCAAAGCAGAAAATTCTCGTTGATATGTTGTTTCATATGATCGACTTCGAGCAGAACGATAAGGTGTACCCGGTGATGATTGAATACAAGTTGCCATTTTTTCTTGTAAACCTATATTAACGTGAACAACAGCCGCCAGCAAGAACACATTATGGAATTAAAGAGTGATGCTTTTCAAATAATCATAGAAGAAGAGAATAACAGAACGCAAAAACTTCTCCCTTGACGACCTATTCAATCGAACAACAATTGTCGATCGAAGAGAAAAAAAGAACGTCGAATATTTGACAAACAAGAAATCAATGACAAAAATGAAGTAAAAGTTTCAATAGAAAAGAAAATACTTATTTTTTAACAGGCAACAACAACATGTTCTGCGAGCTAAACTAACAAATGATAACCTAGTCAAATGTTAAAATTATTTTAGAGAGAGAAAAAAAATGAGTTAACAAATGTATTTACAATTCTTTCTTTGGGGGGGGGGGGGAGTATTAATAATTAGTTCATTTTTTAATATTTTATTGGCATAAAAAGAAAATAATGAGAAATACAAACATAAACAAGTCGAACATTGAAACAAAAGTATCAAAATCAAAACATTGGCATCAGATCTCAGAAAGAAAAAGAACAACCAACGAAATGAATTAATCTAAGAAAAACAAAAAGACTGATGTATAAATGTACGTCAAAAGTACTAACAAATATGTCAGAATGTCAACAAAAATCATCAGTGAAACTGAGTACTCTTGAAAATTTCTGTCCTTTCCGAATGTAACTCGTCGTTAGTAAAATAAGAAATTTTTACATTTCAAGTAAAATTGTTTTTGTTATGCGTTCTGTTGTATTTTTCATAGAATTTATTTAATTCTTTTTAGACATTCGATGTTTCAAAAAAAAAAAAAGTAGATGAAATAACACGTCAACAGACAACCGCAAACATGTTTTGTATTTCATAGTTATCATTTTAAAATCTAAAAAAATTCTCTTTCGAATACTTTTTTTTTTTTTGGAGATCAATCAATTGTTGAATTCGTTACGATTAACAAAATATCGATGAACTTACTTATTTCAACATTAGATAAGACTTATCTCTGTTTGAAAAAGTATTTAAAAAAAAACAGAATACTAAATAAAAGAAAACATTCTTTCTTGTATTTATTTTTGTCAATAAAATCAGAAAAAAAAAAATCACAAAAGATTTATATTTGCTTGATTGTCATAAAAGACTTACAACGACGGTCGCCAAGCATATCAATATAATCATTTGTTGGTATTCAAACATATATTGATTATTGAAAATTAATCGAATGTGAAGTTCTCTATTAACATAAAAATATATTAATTATACGTTCGAATTATCTTAAAAAAGTCTTAAGATAAACTTTACTCTCATCTATAAAGAACTAAATCAACTCTATGAATTCTAATTTTTGTCCTTGTTGTTTGTTTTTATAAAATGCTTTTTATAGAAAGAATAATTATAAAGTTAATTTTTAATCAATTATATAAAAGCTACAGTAACTTATAATAATCATTACTTATTCAAGAATTTCATTAGTAAAAGTGGTCATGCAAACTCAATCTTAACATTTTATTAATATTTAATAGCAAATGAGTGTATGTGTATATGTTATTTCAAAAACATATAACAGAAATTTTCTTGTGAACGTTTAGCAATTACCAAAAAAATGTTTATTCATTTTAGATACAGACCGTACTTTCAGCCAGTGCGATGTAAACATATTGATTAGTATACAGATCGTGTTTTTAAGTAAATTAGTATTGTTGAAAAGTTTACTGCGAAAGTCAGTATGAGAAAATTCCGATTTCACAGAAAAACATGTGATATCAACAAGCATTAATCATTTCAATTTTTATCAAGTATAGTAAAAGGATTGTAGTAAATTAATTAGTAAAATCATTGTCAAGGTTCCAATATATTAAATCATAAAACAACTAAAGAATACAATCGATTGTTTTATAAATAGTTAAAAATACATTTTCAAATCTTTGAATACAAATTAACTTTTGGATAATTTTTTGATTTACACAAAAAAATAAATAATTCATTTTTAAGAATTATTATTTTTTCTTCTGAATATATTTTAATAATATTTGTCTTTACAAATATCATTTTTTTTTTGCGTAATAATATTATGATGAAATACTCACAAGTTATTCGCATCAAACATCCTTTATCAAATTGATATTATTCCAATTAACATAAACAAATACATGAATATAATTAGCACACAAAAGGAAAACTGTTAAGAAAAAAAAAAAGACATTAGAAAACAATTCGTTTCATGTTTTACTCCCATCAAACAAGAAAAAAACATTTATAATCAAGCACAGAACAAATACCTGATGCGTACAAAAAAAAAAAAGAATATTTATATTTTAACGTGTGCACCATTATAATTAGAACATATAGATAGACTAATTGATCGTCATGAAGTAGAATATTCAGAATAAATAGTGGGAAGCTCGAAAGAGAAGAAAAACACAAACAGAAAAAAAAAAAAAAGAAAGAAGCAGATGTATCTGATAAAGACTGAGAAAAACAAAAATTCAGAAGACACTCGGTTATAGATATATATATATATATATATATAAAATTTATGCATTACGTTTTATACTTTCTCTTGCGGCGTTTATTAAAGGTACGAGACTTTGTAATGGTTTTGCCATTTTTAAAAATGGATGCTAAAAAAAATACAAAGTAAGGACTTGTTCTTTTTTTTGTTTGTATAGAAAAGAAAAATACTAACTTGAAGAAGTTGAGATGCAGTAGAACGTTTATCAACATCAACTTCAAGACATTGATCAAGAAAATCTTCAAATAATGGTGATAGTTTTTCTCGACCAGCTATCTCTGGTTTTCCATTCGTAGCAATTAAATAAAGAGCCTACAATTAGTTTTAGAAAAAAAAAACATAGTCTTTCATTTAAATTTAATATTAACTCACTCTTAATGGACTTTCATTAAGATATGGCGGTTCTCCTATACAAATAAAATCAATCAAAAAAATAATAAAAATAATCTAATGAAATATTTTTACCTTCAATCATTTCAATAGCCATAATACCCAAACTCCCTATAATAATAGAAAATATTTTTCTTTTCTTTTTAGTGAAATATCTTTTCTATACATACAAATATCAACTTTTGGTCCATACTGTTTTCTTGTGACTACTTCTGGTGCCATCCTATATAGAATATAGTCATTAATTAATTTTATGAATTAATAAAATCATACCAATAAGGTGTTCCAACCATTGTTTGTCGTTTCGTCTGATCTTGTGTAATTTGTGCACAAAATCCAAAGTCAGTTAATTCTATGTATATAAAATAATCGTGTTCATGTATAATAATAATTCTCACGAGAATAAATGAAAGCAAAAAAAGAAAAAAAAACGAATACATACTGACATTTCCTTCATTTCCCAAGAGAATATTATCACTTTTAATATCTCGATGTATAACATGATTTTTATGAAGAAATTCTAAAGCTTGTAAAACTTCACGACAAACAGCTGCTATATGTCCTTCTTCCATGATAGTTTCTGTTACAACATCAGTTAATGATCCACCAGGAAGATATTCCATAACAACCTTAAACACAAAAAAAAAGAGAAAAAAAAATTTCAATTGTTAAAAATCAATTTTTTTTTTTTTTTACAATAGTGAACAAAAGTCTTTCGACTACTAGATCTCAGCTACTATAAGTACTAGAAGTATAAAAATTTGCATACATATAATCTATCAAGCATATAGGTCAATGTCAGCAGCTTGCTTAAACACATCGAGAATAATGATGGATAGGACTTATTTTGTCCTTTGAAGTTTATACTTCTGAAAAACACCCTAGAACGATGGCTATTTTACTGTGACTATTGGTGAAAAACGCCTTGATACATCATAACTCAGTTACATTTTTAAGGAACTTTTGCTTGCGGCTGAACAAGTCCAAAAGACATTCAGAGACTAAACAACATCCATTAAGCTATGGGAAGGATCTTTGACCTAGATTCTTGGAGAAGCTGAGATCTATTGGAAGAAACTTTTGTTCACTACTATAAATATTTTCTTTACCCAAAGTTCTTCATCAACTAAATATGAATCTTTATAATTAACAATATTAATATGACGATTATGTTTCATAACAGCTATTTCATTAATAATTAATTCTTTTTTTGGTTGATTAGCTAAATTCATTTGTTTAATAGCAACTTCTTCACCTGTTGCTAATTCATATGCTAATAGTACTGTTCCACTTGCTCTATTATAAACAAAAAAAAACAACAACATGTGAATAAGAATTTTTCTCTTCTAGAAAAAAAAAAGATAATTATACCCTTGTCCAATTTTATCTTTACTCTTATATTTTTTATGTGGATCACCATGCGAAACAATTAATCGTAATTTTGCATATATTTCTTCATCACTTAATTGTTTACGTTTTGATTTATCGATATCTGTTGGTACAGATGAATTTAATTTACTAGTATCTTCATCAATTGGTCTTGTATACTAAATAGAACGAAAAAAATTTTAATCTTCGTCGTTCTTATATTCAACAAAAAAAAAAACAAAGTTTTAATAACTTCGGCAGATTATTGTATCTACTTAGTACTAAATAATTATAAAGTAACTTTTTATTATGGATGAGAAAGTTTAACAACAATATGACGCACAATTTTATCAAATAAACTGATATATTGATATTCAAAATAACATGTCGAAAAAGAACTACATATGAACTTATTAATGTTTTTGTATTTCATGATTACCATTTTTTGATATGAAAAAAAAAAATATATTATATTTGTTTTAATGTTGTTTATCAATCGTTCAATGCTATTATATTTTCAATTACATAATTTCTCTTTTAATACACTCCAGATCACAGACTGTCATCAGGACAGGGCTGCTCTAATGCCCTATCCTGTTCTATAAGGCTCTGATAAATTATGTGTCAACCGTTAGGTTATAAATGTTTTCTTAATCGAAATTTTTAATCTTTTCTACAGTTACATGAGATAACGTTATAAGCTACCCACGTTTACATTTCATCTACTATGTCTCTCGGCGACAATCTTTACGTTTTGCTATTGGTTATTCTTTGTTTCCTATGAATAGGATAGAGACCAGAGATCATCATCAATACAGAATACTCAAATGCCTTGGCGTCCAGGCCTTAGGACAGGGGCGAAACAATTTGTCCTGGAAACATTTTTTAAAATCGTTTACTAAATTCAAACATAAATCTTCCAGAACATTTATCATCTATGTAATTCTACCAACTAATGATCGTTTCACTAGAGCTTATGTATATGATACTCATTCTAATTCATCATTGTTCAATACGATCTTTTTCAATTTCGAAGAGTACTCATACTAAATTGAAATGACACCATTTTTTACTCGATTATAATCTGACTTTTATTCGTCAAGACTTGATTGTTTTAATTGTCAAGCATTTTCTTTTGAATTTCTTCTAATCGATCACAAAGATTTGTCCATTTTTTATTAATTAAAATTTATTGATAAGTTTCACTCGAAAAAAATCCTAGAAAATAGAATAAACGAAATATAAATGAATCGATTTTTAGCAGGTCTTATGATTATTTTTATATATGAATAATATTCTTTTGAAATTATATCAAAAGAAAAAGGTATGAGCACTGAATATAAATAAGAACAATATTTTTCATATAGTTAACAACCCATTTCATAATCGATCTCAGTTTATGTGCCCTGAGGGCATCCTGTCTTGAAGACAGAGAAGGACGAAAAAAGTATCCTGTAACAGTCTCTGCTTTAGATGTATTTCTGTAGGTAAAATTACCAAGAAAACATGTTTTTATTGGGATGTGTTTTATAAAGAGACTCTAGAATCCATATATTGTCCCTACACTATTCTATTATAGTTTATCAGTTCAACTAATTGGAATATTGTCTAAATATTATTGTTAAAATTTCTCATCCTATAGTAAAAAGCTATTAATTTGCAACTTTAGGGTTATTGTGAATGTATTTCTTATATTGACATACGATGCTTTTAGTTTTTTCTGGTCTCGCAGCAATTGGTGGTGGTATTTCATCATTATCATGACGATTTCGAATTCCGTTTAGTGTTTGTTCTTGTGACTATAAAAGAAAAAAAAAATATGTATCGATATTTTTATTCTAATAGAGAAATGTTCATTGTTTTATATTTACCGATGTTGATCTATCAGAAACAAGAATGACTGTTTGACGAAATTTATCGGCTAAATCACCGGATATCGGTGGTGTTAAATCTTGAATAATGAAAAAAACAAACAAACTTTTCATATTGAATTAAACAATATCTAAAAAAAAAATTATACTTTTACAACTTGAATACATAAATTTTGATTCTCTTTTTTGTGCAGAATGTTGATAAAAATCTAATGCATCAATAACAGCTTGTGGATTTTGTTTTTGTTCTTGTTTTGTTATTTTAGAATTTTGTAATAAACTTGACCATAATTCAGGCATACCATCAAATTCACCTGTTGATGGATTATATGTTACATGTATAGGATGATTAAAATTTGTTGGACGTGATATTGTTAATTTTGATGGATCTTTTTTTGACCATTCTATTAAATTATTTACAATTTGAAATAAAAAACAAGAAAAAAACGAGTATTTATTTTTCTAACCTTTATTAGCTGTTTTTTTCTTTTTATTTGATTCTTCATCTGGTAGACGAGGTAAAGGTCTCATTTCGAGATTTGATGTCGAACTAAAGCAAAAAAGAAAAAGAAAATCAAACGATAGTAAAAATAATTTCATGAATAAATTTAGATTTTTACCCTATGATAGAATCGACGCGTACAGGCGGCAGTGGTGGCCGCTGTTCGTCCATCATTAATATCTGAAAAAATATATGTGTATAGAAAATCTCTACTCAAAACAATACCATATGATATTATAAACAAGACAATCATCCATCAAGTGTACAGACATGTACATTTAACAACAGACATCATTTAGAAGGATTAATTCAGTTTTTTTATTTGTGTATTCAAATAACCAATCAATTACAGGTCCGATTTTTATTATGTCATAATATATATTAATTGTTAAATGATTAATTAATAATACATATCCTAGATGAATAAATGAATTTCCAATTAAATTTTTGAATAAAGAATTTCGATGTAATACTTGATTATAGGTATTTGTAATTTCTATGAAATGATAGATAAAAACTAATTTTAAAAATAATCTTTTAAGATATTTAAAGAAGTTTTGAATTTATTATTTATCATGAATAGAACAAAAAAAAGAAAAAAAGATCGATAAAAATAAATAATTTGAATAAAATTGATCATCAACGATTTGAGTAGAAGTGACATCTGTTCTGAGTCGCTATTGTATATGAGAAATATGTTTTATTTTGCTACCTATCGTAAACATTGGATGGTTTGGTAACTACTTCCTTTCGTTTTCTTTTTTTTTTATTGATTATTTAACTTATTTTCACTTCCTTCATTGATAATGTCTGTAGTTATTCTTACTAATAAGAAAAAGAAGCCAATGAATTCCATATGTCTTCTTATATCCAGACTTCGATATTTTCCACACAATCAAGTATGTTATTTAATTAGTAATTAATCTAAACAGAACATTTATCTTAACTTTCATCGACTGATATAAATCATATAAATCATTTTTTATTTGTACTTTCATCGATGCACTCAAAAAAAAAAGCCTCCAAGGAAAAAAAAAAAGAGAAAAAAACCGCTATGCATCATTAATTTTTCGTAGTTTCATTGTCATAGTATCTTTTCATTATTTATTCACAGTTTCTATTGATTCTTCATCAGTGTGAATTTATTTCGACCTTTTCATTTCTATGCAACGAATATCTGTAAGAAGACAACAACTAGACAATCAAAATAACAAACGATGGTCGATATCACTAATTGATAATAATGATCAAGACGAACAAATATCATGTCAATCACCATATTTAACATTACTCACTAATAAACTTGGAATACCACAAGAAAAAGCGTTAGTTAACGAATTTCTTTCGAATATTTTTTTTTTGTTGTACTTTTAATTCTTTTATTCGATTTAGAGAACGAGCATGTGTAGCAACTGGTTTTCGTTCAGTACAAGCTGCTACTGATTGGTAAGAGGTAAACAATGAAAAAGAATAGAACTTATTTTTATTGTTTTTGTTTTTTTTTAAAGGCTTCTTCAAAGACAAAATGATAATAGATTAATTCGAAGTGAATTTATTATTGTTCTTTGTCCTGATGAACGTCTTAATGAACAAATTCAAACATTTACTAGTGAAATATTTCGTTATCTTGCTCAGGGAAATTTATTAAACGATCGTCAATATTTACGTGCTTTTAAATTATCTGGTTTTTTTCATGTAAATATTCTCGAAATATGAATCAATTAATAAATAAATAATTAATTATATTCTATAATTAGGTACCTGATCGATATGTTTATTCATTACATAAAATATTTGATTCTGTTGTTGAACAATATCGTAAATTAATTAAACAATTATTACGTACTATTTTATATACAACAAATGATTATCTTATGCTTATGCCTGATATTGAAAGTAAAAAACTTATTCAAACTATTTTTGATATGTTTAAACAACAATTTGAATTAATAGGTTTGTTTAAAAATTAAAATAAATTTTTGTTTAAAAAATTTTTCTATTTTTATTTTTATTTTTATTTTTAGTACCAGATGTTTCAATAATACCAGCAAAAAAAATAGTTCATTTAACTCTTACTCATGGTTTATCAACTTTATTTCATCTTTCAAATGATCAACGAACATCATTAATACAACTTGCACAACTTTGTATTGAATTAGATCGTCCTATTAATTGGAATCTTCGATTGTATTCGCGTGAAAGGTCTTCTATGAATGAAGTTTGTTCTTTTCTTTTTCTTTATTTTTCTTTACAGAATAAAATAAGAAAATAATTTTGTTTTTCTTTTTCTTTTTTTTGTTATGTTGTAGACTGTATATCGTGTTATTTCATCAACAAAAGATACAACTAACAATAAAGGTCTTGTATTAAAAGCGAATGATCTGTTTATGGTACTTGATAATGGTCGAATAAGCGAACAAGAAAATGTCTTTGGTGAGTAAGCTTTAATTAAGTTGTCTTTTGTCTTCTTTCCTGTTATATATCTTTGCTTCTCGCTCTTTCGCTTTCTTCTCTATCATCTATCAAGAGAAAGAATAAGAATAAGAATATTTCATCATGCATCTATGTGCTTGTGTGGCCTTTGAGAGACTCTTCTCTTTCTCTCTTACATGCGCATAAAATGTTCTTCGTTTCTCTAACAACGCGCAAGGCACAAGACACAGTCACCTTCGATGCTTCTTTACTGGATGTGCGTGCAACGCACACAAGAGAACGAAGAGAGAGAGAGAGAGAGAGAGAGAGAAAAGCAAACGGCGCACACACAAGCTGCATCATAGCACAACAAGCGAGTAGTAATAGTAGTAGTAGTCGTAAGAGTAAGAGTAGTAGTTCGAGTAGAGTGCTGCTAGTAGCGTCGGCTCATTCTTTCTTTCTTGCTTTTGAGTGAAGCACGGGTGAGTGTCGCGTCGGCAATATAGAGGTTGTATGTGTTTCAAGATAGAAGAAGACGAGTTCTAGATAATGTTGGATATGCTTGCGCGAGAGTCGACAACAAGTTCAGCAACAACAAATGGATCTTCAACATCAAAACCAGTTCGACGTTTTCATCAACGTGCATTGATTTGGGATTTAGAAGAGACACGTGCTCTATTAGATTTACTTAAAGATGAACGAATATTTAAAGCTATTGAGAGTGTTCGAACACGTGAAATCTATCATGAAATTGCTGAACGTCTTAAACAAGCTGGTTTTAATCGTGATTGGAATCAAATACGTGGTCGTGTGAAAAACTTAAAATTCTCATATAAAAAAGCTCGTGCTTTACATGAAGAACAAGGACAATCAACATTAACTTGTCGTTTCTATGATGATCTTCATTATTTATTTGGTCATAAATATAAAAGACAACGAAGTAAAAAACGTTCATTACAACATCAACAACAAAAATTACAAAATAATTTAAAGATAGAGAATGAAGAAGGAGAAATTGTTTCGAATATAAATAATAATGAACCCGATGATATTACTGATGATGATGATGAGGCAAGAGATTTTTTATTTTTATTTGAGCAAAGAAATAATTTTTATTTTCCTCCAGTCAATGAATGAAGATGATGAACAACAAAATTTTCTTGATGATGTTTCACCTGATTATATTCAACGACCAGAAGATCCATATCCAATACTTCAATCAACTCGAACAAATTCAAATATAATTCAAAATGAAGATACAAATAATACAACAATTGAAACAAATGAAGAACAAGAACAATTAACAACAGATGAAATGGATGTTTATATTAAATCTATGTCACCATATAAACATCAAGCATATCTTATTGATGATGTTCTTCAATCAATTTTTAATAAATTTCTTCTTGCACAACAACAATCAGAACAACGTTTTATGTCATTTATTAATGAACAAAAACGGAATGATCAAGAACGTGAAGAAAGAATTCATCGAGAACAACGACAACATCAATTAGAACTTATACAACTTATTATCAATCAAGGTAGACTAAAACAATTCTACCAAATCAACAATATATATATATATATTCGTTCATTAAGAGAAATCATTTTAACTATTCATTATTATTCTAGTCTAGGAGATTTTCTTTTTTTCTAAAAAAAAAAACCTCTTTTATATTAAATAGTTAAATATTTGATTTATATTTATTTTTAGGTCGTTCTCATACAACAGGTGAAGAAGGTTTATTTCCATTAAAAAATTTAAGAAAAACATCTGAAACAGATGCATGGACTTTACAAAAGTAAATAAATTTGAATATATTCTTTATTTTTATTGTTTTTTTTTTTTTTTGTACATTAAAGATCAGCATCATTAATAAATGAAAATTCTTCAATAAATACAATAGATCTTTCAGAAAATAATAGTTCATCACCAAATGATGAAAAAACTTCTAATAAATTACCTGAAGTACGAAATTTTACAAGAAAAACAAATATAATATCACGATTAAATACTACAGTAAATATTTTTTCATATTTAGTTGAGTTTTTGTTTTTCAAAGAATTTTCTTTAGAATAGTCAATTAGATTTATTATCATCAACATCGAATCCAGGTTTAATTCGTCTATTTTGTATTCGTCATGGTGAACGAGTTGATTTTGCATTTGGTCCATCTTGGCCTGAATTAGCTTTTGATAAAGCTGGTATTGTCATCTTTTTTTTTATTTGTTTATTGAATAAAAATTTATTTTGAATCTTAAAGGAAATTATCATCGAATAAATTTAAATATGCCATTATCTTTACCACGTCGTCGTAATCCATTTCGTGATTTTATTGGTGATTCTCCTATCACTGAAATTGGTATAAGTCAAGCTCGATTAACTGGTGAAGCATTAGCTGCAAATGATTGTCTTGCACAATATTGTTATTCATCACCATCACTTCGATGTATTCAAACAGCACATTATATTCTTCAAGGTATTATTTTAAATAAAATCAAATAAAAACAAAGATAAAAATTTAATAAATTAATTTCAGGTATGGGAGTTGAAGATCGAGTAAAAATTCGTGTTGAACCTGGTTTATTTGAATTTTTGGGTTGGTATGAACGTGGTTTGCCATCATTTTTTAATTCATCTAATATAAATATTAATGAAGAAATAGAAGAAGAAAATAATTTATATAATATTGATAAAAATTATCGACCAATTATTTCATTAGAAAAATTATCTCGCGATGAAAAATATATTGATTATT